GACCTTGCAGATCTTGTGAAGTGAGCATTTGTATCCTGCATGATCGCGTGTTCTCTGCATGACGGTCGGTCCATGCAAATTGAATGCGGACATGAGGAGAGTTCTGCTTGACTGGAGACGCGCGATCGACAAACTAAACTCGTGATTTCAAATTATGCTGCGCTTTATGCATTTGCCCACTGTGAGTGTCAGCACTTTTTATGATCAAGCTGTACAGTGTCAGTGATGAATTGTGTGACTGCCGGCAGGCCCATGACCATTGTCGCCCCTCGGTTTTCCGAAAGCGCACATGTTCTGTGTGTTTCTGCTCTGATGAGTCCACAGGAAGTAATGGTGGGTGTTTATGTCTCTGGCAGGTTCGTCAGCTGGTGAAGGATGGCTTCCTGGTGGAGGTGTCGGAGGGGACGCGTAAACTCCGTCATGTCTTCCTCTTCACAGACCTTCTGCTCTGTGCCAAGATGAAAAAGACCGCAGTTGGGTATGAACATGGACACTCAAACACTTAAATGGACACTTATTTTATGTTTTACCCACTCATGCATACATCACTCTACAGGCCGCTGCGTGCTTGGTGTCAGTAGATGAAGTGTTTTGATTTACAAAGGTGCAACCTCATTTTGTTGTCATGGTTACGATGCCAAAGACATATACATTTAGTCATTTAGCAGACGCTTTTATCCAAAGCGACTTACAAATGAGGACACCGTAATATTGATTGATAGCTGCTATTATCCTGATGCAGCTCTGTGTTTCTGTAACTACAGCCTTCCCAGAAGAATAACGCACATTTAATGTGTATACTGAATGCCAATCTTTTTTTTACATTTAATTTACTATATGTAATCTACTCTGCCTCATATGTTTGGCATTATGAGACATTCAGTTCTGGGAATTCAGTTCTCATGACTGACAGAGACTGTAAAGTATCCAGCATCTTAATCAGACTGAATTAGGCAGGAGATGATTTTAATTGGTTGTTATGCATGATGATGAGCAGATTATATTTCCCTGCAAAGCCATGCTGGGCATCATAATTATCTCATAATAAGAGCGCATTATCGTGCATTTTGACAGTGGAAACACATTTTGATCCCTGAAGCATGTGTGTAAATGTGTATATACTCTACATACTAGAATGTGCTTAATTGGTTACATCAGTCTGCACAAGGGCATTTCCTGTCAGGACAGGAAGAGAAAGACATCATGAGGCATATGTTTGTGTGAATGTGAGCAGAAACAAATTTACACTTAATGCACTCAAATGATGTGCTTAATATATAAATATACTAAAGTTGTCAATTTAATTTAGTGTTGTTATAAGAATTACAGCAATTTGACATTTAAATATGTTTTTCTATGTTTGTCAGGAGGCACCAGCAGTATGAGTGTAAATGGTACATCCCTCTGGCTGATCTGAGCTTTCAGACTCTGGATGACTCGGATTCTCTCCCTCACATCCAGACGCTCCCTGAGCACGAGATTGAGGAGATGAAGATCAAGATCTCCTCCATCAAAAGCGAGATCCAGAAAGAGAAGGTAATGTTGTGTATGTAACTATACAAGTAATGGGTTTTGTTCTATGTTTTTGTCTGCACTCTAAAAAAATAAAGGTTCCAAAAAGTTTTTTTTTTCACAGCGATGCCATAAAAGAACCATTTTTGGTATCCTAACGAATCACTGTCACAGTGATAGTACAGTTTACATTTAGACAGAGACAGATCTTAGACCGCCTGCTTCCATTGTTCAGCCAAGGTCAGCACAGGACAGCGAGGCAGTGCCTCACATGCAGAGGAAAGGTGACACCCCGCCTCTCAGCCTCAGTAAAGTGGGTTACTCCACTGTGTGAGTGAGTTTGTTTTTGTTAGCTGACACTGAGAGAATCGAACGTGTTCCCCTCTGAGAGCACTCGCTCCTGGTGTCTCTTCTGGGAGTTCCTTCTGCTCAGAGCGATTACTGCACCGCAGTCATGTAGCCCATTACATTGTGTCAAGATATAATATAACGTCGACACGCACACTCTTAACGGACTGAGCAGTGGGGCACTGAAGTCTTTAATTAGCCGTGGAGGCCTGATAACATAATTTCCAGTAAAAACTTATACACACACAACGAAAGGCTGATAGCGTCGGCCTTAATGGAAACTTACAGACACACAAACACAGTGTTACAAGCATAAAGACAAAATATCCTTTGAATTGACTTCACAAACAAACTTCTCACTCCCTTTCTGTTTTTGCCCACATAGTTACTAAATTTTACTGTTTCAAAATTTAGAGATGAACATAAGAGACGTTTTTAAAAAAACATTAAAATGTTAATTATTTCATACTTTTGGCACCTGTGTGTATATATATATATAGATGCATGGATAGATAGATTTTAAATTGAAATAATATTTCACAATTATTTTTTTATCAAATAAATGCAACCTTGGTGAGCATATAAAACTTCTTTCAAAAACAAACATAAAAATATTGCCGACCATATATATATTGAATTTGAAAATGTAAAATAGAAACATTTTCAGACTTTTGGACCCTACTGTGCACACATGTAGAGTCAGAAGGGGATTTCAGTTTGCACCAATTATTTTGCTTTGTGGAGCTCTTGGTTTCTGAGAGTAATAAGAGAGAATGAGAAGGAAAGAGAGGGCTAATCAGAGCAGGAAGTTTCTCTGATTGATATGCAGATTACTGATTACAGTGATGATGGCTGGTGCCTCATGCTGGCTGCGAGAAACTCAGACTGACAAATGTCTCAGGCATACTTTGCTTGTAAGCACATTTTAATGCACTAATATCGGATTGATTTGTGTGTGAACAGAAAGCACAGAAAAGTCAGAGTCGTAATGTGGATCGTCTCAGGAAGAAGATGAACGAGCAGGAGTCGTGTCTGCTGTTACATTCCCCCACCATCCCATTCCGCATCCACAACAAACACGGCAAGGTACCACATCGCACAACCATCTGATTTACTACAGTATTCTGTGTGGGAGGCTAGTGTGATTGGGTAGCGCTGGACATTTCATTCAATTTTTTCCACTTAAATTATGTGTTTCTGCTGTTTATAGTGTTCCAGTAGAGGGAGCTATTGTTATTCTTTAACTGTTTCTCTTTCTACAGAGCTACCTGTTTCTGCTGTCCTCAGATTATGAGAGGTCAGAATGGAGGGAGAGCATTCAGAAACTGCAGAAAAAAGGTTAAACAACTTTTTCTATTAAAACATCAGATTATTCTACCATATCATATAATCATTACAAAATGGCACAATCCATCATTCCTGAATCAGCCACACTACCATTCCAGTAATGCTCTCTAAGGTCCACTAGCTATGGGGTCCACTAGGGGGCCTCAGCAAACTTAGCAAAAAGGCAGCAAGATTTATTATTTATAATAATTTAAAATATGTGTGTATAGCAGTTTTATTTTAGTATTGTTTGTAGTAATGTTATAATTTCTATTAATTATAGAAATTTCATTTCTAGTAATTCTATTACGTTATTGTCTTTTTTTTATTCATTTATTTGTTTATTTAGATTTATTTAAATTATATTGCATTTTTAGTTATTTTCCAGTAGTTAGTAACTTTAGTGCTTCAACTTAAATTTACTTCAGTTAGTTGCTATGGCAACAATTCAAATTTTTGTTTAGTGTAGGTTTTTCATCTAACGTTTATATTTTATTTTGTTTCAGCTTTATTGTAGTGAACAGAAATGTTTTTAATGGTTTTAATTAGCGATAATAAGCTTGATGTGTAGAGCTCACTGTGTGTTTGTGTGTTTTTCAGACCTGCAGGCCTGTGTGTTGAGTTCAGTAGAGTTGCAAGTGTTGACTGGCTCCTGCTTCAAGCTCCGAACTGTCCACAACATCCCCGTCACCAGCAACAAAGATGGTAAGAGACACATATTTTCACACAAACAGCTCGCTGCTGTCTGATTCAGTGCCTAGTAGCTTCAATTGTATATGGAGGGGTCAAATGCAAATGCTTGTCTGAATCTGAACTTACAGTAGAGGAGACTAGGGTAAAATGTGTCAGTGATATCAATTTCAGTTTATATCAGATGTCCAGAAACACATTTAGTTGAATTAGTTTGACCTATATCTCATTTTTGTGTTTGTCTTGAGGAGAACTTCAGTAAAAACAGTACAGCTTATCCTCCTCTCCCTTATTTCCTTCCCTTCTGTTTCCATTTAAATTCCTTCAGCTCCTCATCACAATAGTTTTTATTTGTACTCACTACCCCAGTTTCTTTGTTCCTCAATTTCTCTTTCCATCACTGTGAAGTCCAAATAGGTTGTTCATAAATCTAGGTTACAATCTGGTTTTACTCTACTGACAACCTGTGCCATGTTGAGGCTGCTTTTATTCACTTCTGAGCAGGGCAGGGTTTCAGGACTTGGCTGTTTGTTTTTGTGTGGACCCTGACATGTTTTGATTTGGATGACATTAAAGCCATCTGTCCATCACCTCCCACATGCAACCCCAGTCAGCAGAGCTGGAGTCGGTCACTATCAAAAGGGCAACAATCCCTTAGTGCTGCTGCTGTATACATACAATTATAGGGGATTAGTGGTAGGTTCAGAAATATTATTGCATTTAGCCAGAGCAGAATGCATTAAACTTCTCCTAAAACCTCATTACAGTGGTTTTCCTGTGATAAAATCACTGTAACACTCAACCTCAAGTCAATTTGATTTATTTAGCACTATTCACAATACAGAAGCAGCTTTATAAAAATCATGATGTTAATATTTATAATCAACCAAAAATGAAAATTTGCTAAAAATTACACTCATGCCATTCAAGATGTAGATGAGTTTGTTTGTTCAACGGAACATATTTGGAAAAAAATATTAGCATTCCATCACTTGCTCACCAGTGGATCCTCTGCAGTGAATGGGTGCCCAAACAGTGGAGTCCAAACAGCTGTTAAAAGCATCACAATAATCCACAGTTATCCAAGTAATCCAAGTAAGCTACAGTCCATCAATCAACATCTTGTGAAGCGAAAAAAACAGTGTGTTTGTAATACATCCATCAAGACAACATGAAATATTGATTTGAGAGGAGAATACTGAGGTTGAGCAATAAGAATCGAGTATTCTAGAGAGTAAAGATACTGTAATTGTTGTGTACTGGTGCCAATAACGTTGATTTAATTTGAAGAACATCTACAGAAGCACAACCCACAGTGGATCTGAAGCAAATTTTGAGTTTAAATAAAAAATATCCTTTTCTGAGCATGTGCCGCTGGCAGGCCGTGTCTGGCCCAGGGGTCTTGAGTTTGACTTGTTCCGTCTCTCGTAAGTGACACACATAGAAAGACCCCCTCTGATCATCCCCTGAACCCCACAACGTCCCTCCTGCTACGAAATTTAAGATGCAGGGAATGAGGTGAAATGAGGAGCAGCTGGTGAAGGAATGTAACCCCTGCCACATACCCTCACATACATCCCCCATGAACCCCCATAGACACACACTCACAAATACCCTCTTTCCTCTGGACACCAGCAGTTTGAGCTGACAAATCAGGGCTGTAAGAAGCGTTTGTCTTCATTATGAGAGAAACAGTGTGACATTGAGAGCTGTCAGATGGAGGAGAACGGTAATTAAATGATGGTCGGCTTCTGTTTTGTGAGAGTTAAGGCCTCTTCATGTGACTCGCATCAGGGTTTAGAAAAGCATTGTGCACCTCTTTGACCTCCACATGAAAAGCGTTGCAAATAGTGTTATGGAAGGGTGATGCTGCAAGAAGAAGTGAAATATTTAAGAAATATTTAAACATGTTTGAGAACAGAAAAAGGTCCTGGCAACTGCTTTGATGCATCAGAAAAAGCCCCAGTTCACGAAGTGTTACTCTTTCAGGGTGCTTGTGGTGAATTTAAATTTAGTTTGGGAACTGAGGTACCAACAGTAAAATGAGGCTTTCAAGATCTCTTCATGTTTTAAACATTTCTTGTTGCTTTGTACTCCAAGTTTGGACAGAATTTAAGAATTGATTATTTTAATTCATGAGTGAAACACATAGGAAGCTAACTTGGATAGCTCAGAACTATCAAGGGATGGTTCAGTCTAAAATGAAAATTCTGTCATCATTTATTCACCCTTATGTTGTTCCAAACCTGTATACATTTATTTCTTATTTAGAACTCAAAAGAAGATATTTTGAAGAATATTGATAACCAAACAATATTCTGATAGCCATTGACTTCCATTGTAGGAAAAAAATACTATGGAAGTCATTGGCCAGCAACTGTTGTACATTCTTTCGAATAACTTCTTTTGTGTTCAGCAGAAGAAAGAAATTCATACAGGGTTGGAACAACATGAGGGTAAGTAAATGATGATAGAATTTTCAGTTTTGGGTGAACTATACCTTTAAAGAAAGTGGAATTTATTGCATTACAGTTGAGTGGCTAGTGACATTATTGGCTAAAACCTATAAAACTTTCAAACTTCAAGCAAAGCTTAGTTAAGCTGCCAAAGTTTGTCTTGACATACTTTATTTTATTGTCTTGCAAGCTACATTTCTTCAAATTTCAATTAAATTTGATTAAATAATTGAATAAAAATATTTAAAATTCCAATAACCTGTTTTCGACCTCAGTTAAAAATTAGACTCAAATTTAAGAATTGACTTGGAATTTAAAATTAAATTCAAATTCAGGAATTTAAAGCTGCAGTCCGTAACTTTTTTGTGTTCAAAATTTATATAATTATCGAGTACACCATGAATCCATTTTCCAAACCGTGTTTTTGGCTTGTCCTGAATCACTAACGAACAAGCAGTTCTGTTTATTAACCGCTAGAGTAACCGCCAAAAGTTACGGACTGCAGCTTTAAGTTCAAGAACTGAAATTCAAATTCAAGAATTGAACACTAAATTCATCTCTACATGGCACACAACCTTCTTGTACTCTAAAAGACTTCATCAAAAAGCCAGAATGTATAAGAATCACAAATTTGCATGACACGTCACTTTATTGACTTAAATGCATTCAGAAATATTGAATCTTATGAAAGAGCCATAAAGCGCTAGTTTATTCAATTATATTTTTACCGAGTTTTATCAAACAGTTTCTGGACTGAATGGAGAGATGAGCTGCCATTTGATTCATACTTTTGGACTGGATTATGATCACATGTCCAGCAACATGCACAGGTCTGAGATTGTTTACTCTCTCACGTGTTGTTCTGATGAGGTGGTTTAGGTTCAAAGAGATTCTCGGCTAGTTTGCTTCCTGCTATATAAACGCAGAGAAAGGGAGACTGCAACTTGAGCACTGCCACCCACTGCTTCTAATATAGATACAATAAGCCACTCTGTGTGTGTGTGTGTGTGTGTGTGTGTGTGTGTGTGTGGGTCGGTCAAGGCCACCCTGAAGTTATGACTGGTTCTGTGGGCCCAGAGACCCAGGTTTCCTCTCTGGATGAGAGCCTTTAAGTCCAGAAGAATCCTCTTGTTCTCTCGGGCTTACCATAAATATTGTTTTCATGAACCATGCTTTTTTAACCTACTTCACATGATGTTAAACTTTTTCGGTGTGGTTATCCAAGCTCATGGTTTTAGTTAAGGCAGCTGTAGACTTTCAGTTATGTGACACTGTTTTCATTTGCTCTGACATCTGCATTCTTTCCACCAGCACTAATTCACAGAGTTCTTCATCAGAGCAGACCAGCCAAAGTTAGGGGGTTGTGACACTTGGTTTTATCTGATCTGTAAGTAATAGATCTTGCAACTTGAGCAAGACTTCATATTTATAAAGCTTTCCGATCAGCACTGACCTTTGATTCTTTTGGAGTCAATCAAATTCTTAGTCAACCTGACTTTACTATTACTATTTTACATTACTAACCAACTGATATGGCTTTTTCAGTACTGGTACCAAAGCTGCTATCTAGGCTCTGACAAAACATTTTGGACATATATATAAATAAAATGCTTGGAATTGATTTTGTTAAAAAATGCAAATTATGCTTATGTATACTGATTTTGTATACACGCATAATGCATCTAATCTAAAAAATCTAATAAAAATGTATGTTAATAATAATTGTGAGAATAATATTAATAATATTATTATATAATAATATAATACTAATAATGTAATAATAATGAGAATAATAAAACTCGCTTTATAAAAAACTTTCTTCTTTTTTTAAATTATTCATTATCAGGACTCCAATTTTTGTATTTTACATTCTCCACTTATTATAATAAATAAAATATTATTTTGTATCGTGGAGAATGTAACATCAAAATTGTCCTGATAATGAATAATAAAAAAAAAAAAAGAAAGAAAGTGATTTTTTTTCTTGTTTTTCTATTGTTTATTTATTTTTTTATTCATTTTAATTGAGTTACATCAGAGAACTAAGAAGTGTCCAACATACATATAAACTACTAAATTTAAAAATAAAATCTAAATAAACTTCCTGACCTCACTAATTGGCTGTTTGGTTGTTGGATGACTGGTAGACTGCTTTAACCATTGCTAATTTCAGCATGTAAGTCAGGCTCTGTTGTCTGTTTATAACCACATTCTCCATAATCTCAGTGTCTTGTTTCATGTTGTAGAGGGAAATTTGAGTAGTGTGGTGAGCATCAAATTCTGTAATGGATCGAAGCAATCCAAACACATACAATGATAGTCAGCCTTATATCACCAGTCCAGCACAGAAATGGACCACACAAACAGGAGACATGCTGTAAGAATAGCACTGTTCACATTACAGCAAACATGCACTCACCAGCTGCTCACATGCTTACTGATGAGCTCAGAGAATCAGTGGTGACTCGATACTAGTGCAGATGTCTTATTTCCCTGTTATATTCACACACTCTTCAAGGACCTTTGGACCTACTATTGGGTGGTCTGGGCCATATCTGATTTTAAGTTTAGTAGTATGTATGTGTTTTAGCAGCATATGGGTGACTAGACACTTGCATATGTGTCCTTTATCTGTTACCTGCCACTAATAGGCAGGAAAGTGAAGGATTGTGGGTAGATTATTAAAGAGGGAGATGCTGAAAGATGACGAAAGCAAGGAGTTGGACACTTCATAAATTAATCACACACACACTTACTGAGTGTTTCTTGTCTCTTCCAGATGAGGAATCTCCTGGTCTGTACGGCTTCCTGCATGTGATTGTCCATAAAGCCACAGGCTTCAAAGAATCTGCCAGTAAGTCAAAGTCTCTTGTCTGTTTCACTTTTTTTTTAATTTTTTTTTTTACCTTTTTTCTTTTTTTCTCTTTTTTTTTTAAGAATATAGAAAACACATTTATCCTGCATAATATAGGATAATGGAAACAAGTAATTTGTATAAATCAGCATTTCCCAAAGTGTGGTCTGTGGCCTACTAAGTATTGTAGGGGAGCTGCAGCCCACGTTTTGGGAAATGCTGATTCATACAGATGTATTGTTTTATTATGCCGAGCACAAGTAATTGGCCTCATATGTTGGGGAGAAAGGAAAAAGAGGAAGATTTTTACTGAGAAACTACACTTTTTTTCCCAACTGTTCACCTTAGATGAACCCTCCATCAGTTAGCTGTAGACACTATTGTGTATCACTGTAGCAAGTGTGCTTACAGTAAGTTACTGTGATTGTGTAGGTGAGTGATTAGATGAACAAACCAATATGAATGAAGCCACAAACCTCCCTACAGACGTCTTTAGTATATAATATGTATGCCATTCACTGTATGCAGATTTCTGAATGACTTATGGCTATCACATTCCCCAAAATAAGCAGTCTACAACAGAACATACTAGGGGAAGTACCATCCCACATTTCAATAGAGTGCAATTCGGTCCTGGAAGTAAAAAATCTCATTCATTTTCTCTATAGGGAATTTATTTTTAACTGTATACACATTTAAGGACAGAGCTATTGTGAGCTATAAGGTTGTTAATCAATGATATATATGCTTTTGTTGAATCCATCAGCCTACATTATTTCAAAATGTTTTTTAAATAATCATGTTTAACATTGAAATTCCTGTTGGAAAATTACATTACCCGTGATTCTGCAAAGAAATCTCCAACAATCAGAGTAATCAAGTGAATTGCGCCAAAAGAGCTCATTTGTGTGTGTGTGTGTGTGTGTTATATATATATATATATATATATATATGCTTTTATATAGCAGTAATTTCACATTCAGTCTTCAAATTAATGTAAGACAAAATATTTTTAATATTTATTTAATGGCATCTTTTTTTATGACTGACGGCGAGTATCACTGATACCAGTACTACTGATTTCTCTATGAAATTGTTTTTCCCCCTAATATTTAACTATTGACTCCAGCCATTCAACATTACAGTATAATTGAGAGCTATCTATTTTAACATTTATTAGACTTTATTAGATTAGAAAAAAAAACTTCTAATTTAAGTGAACTTAAAACAATCTTCACATAAATTAATTATAATAAATGTTGTATTTAGCTACCTGTGCCCTTCAGCAAGTAGGAAATTAAATAAACAGAAATTGATAAAGTTATCAAACACTAAATTCTAAATTAAATAAAGATGAACCCAATGACTGTTTACAATCATTGGACAGATGAAGATATTTTCCCCTGTTGTAGTTACTGCGTCATCAGAGAGACTTGCGACAGCAGAATCCAGTTGAACACCAGCTAGCTGAGCAGTATCCTAGCTGCTGTAAAATGGCTAGAGAATTTTACTTGCCTGACGGGACAAATAGCTTGATTAAAACTTAAGTGACAAAAAATAACTAGTGTCACATTGAAATTTGAGAATGATTCTTCTGATTTTATTACATTCAGTTAAAACAGCGATTGATGTTGGATAGTGTATTTCTGGTATCAATGTTGCGCTGTTGAGGCTCGTGCTGCCTGTGTCTGAGAGACACATGAAGAAATCAAATCAAATGAGCATAGCGGCATACATAAAGAAACTCACAAAACAAACATACTGAGGTAAAAGTTTAAAATGTTTAGTTTATTTATAACATGATGTAGTTAAGTAACATACCATGACAAGGAGGCTATTTTGCTGAATATTTTCACGATTGCAAATGTTACATTGATTTTAGTTCAACAAACAAGTAGTTAAGTATATTAGATACAACATTGACTGTTTTGTTCTATTTCACCAACGAAAATAGTTCCAAACAAGGATCGGAACAGAAGTATTGCACATTCTCCAAGCGACACTTGGCGTTTTTGTTACTGAATGATTCGGCGTTTTGAAGGAATCGGTTGAATGAATGAGCCTACTTTAGTCTCATGTTTAAATGTATGCATTTTCCCCCAACATTTCTTATTTGTATATTCAAAATTATATTTCAAACATTAATCTAATAATTTATTTACTGCAATTGTAATTTTGCAGTGTAAATTATTTAATTTGATTGGTAACAACCTTATAGTGTATATTGAATTTCTTGATCAATTGTAAGAATTTGACATGAAAGATGACGCATACATTTAATAAGGTTTAAAAATATTGGCCTTTATAAAGGTAAATAACGTCCTAGGGTAAATATTAAAAATCTGCAGATTTAAGTATGTAAAAGCTGATAGGACACTAATGAAAATATTGCTTCTGAATAAATCGTTTGCATCACCAAAAATCTTGGTGATGCTGTGCTTTTGTGGGGATATTTTGTATTGGGATATTGTCTGCTGATATGAAAAGTTCACTGTAGATTGTAATTACAAAAAGCATTTTTGACAGAGATGATATTTTGTTTTCTTTTTACATTAAATATTACATATACGTACAGTGGCTATAGAAAAGAACCCCCCCCCCTTTAAAATAATCACATTTTGTTGCTTTGCAGCCTGAAATGAAGACAGACACAGTTCTTGTTTTATCCAGCTTTATTTATTCAGTGCAACTTATAACATCCAAGTGAAAGATATAACACCAACATGTCAGGAAAATTTTTTAAAAAACAGAATGACTGAGCTGGAAAAAGGATCACCACCTCCTAAAAATGACTTGTAAACTCAATCAGGTGTAGCTAATCACCTTCTCAATGGCACACAAAGCTATTTGACTTTCAACTGTGATCAGCTGTGCTCATTTTGATTAGCTCAGCATGAAAAGAGCTTTCCTGGAGCATTTCAGTCCTTGGTAGTGCAACTGAAGCAAACAATCAACTATGGGTGGCAAGGCACTGTCAAAAGATCTCTGGGAGAAAGTTGTGGATAGGCACAAGTCAGGAGATGGATACAAAAAGATTTCAAAGGCTTTAACAATGCATAGAAGCACAGTGAAGTCAATTATTAAGAAGTGGAAGGCATTTGGTAAAACACAGACCCTCCCTGGATCAGGACGTCACGCCAAACTGGATGAAAGAGCCAGGAGGAAACTGGTCAGAGAGGCGACCAAGAGGCCTACAGCAACTCTGAAGCAGTTACAGGAATTTATGACAAATAGAGTGGTCATTGTTTGCATGTGACAACAATATCATAAATTCTCCACAAATGTGGCTTGTATGGGAGGGTTTCAAGAAAAAAGCCACATGCAGTCACGACTGAGCTTTGCCAAAACAAACCTTGAAGATTCTGAGGCAGATGAGACTAAAGTTGAAGTATTTGGCCTCAACACCAAATGATATGTCTGGCAGAAATCCAGTACAGCTCACCATCCAAATAACACCATTCCTACAGTAAAGCATGGAGGTGGTAATATCCTGTTATGGGGTGTTTCTCTGCAGCAGGGACTGGACCACTTATCAGGATCGAAGGAAAAGTGGATGTGGCAAAATAACATAAAATTATTGAGGAAAATCTACTGCCCTCTGCCAGAAAGTTGTCAATTGGAAGAAGGTTTACCTTCCAGCATGACAATGACCCAAAGCACACAGCAAACCTGAGCACACAGTGGTTGAAGGAGAAAAAGGTGAATGTCCTGCATGGCCCAGTCAGAGCCCAGACTTAAACCCCATTGAAAATCTGTGGAATGACTTGAAGACTGCAGTCCACAAACAAGTCACCATCCAATTGAACTGAACTTGAGCAGTTCTGCAAAGAAGAGTGGGCAAATATTGCAAAGTTAGTAGAGACAAATCCCAACAGACTAAAGGCTGTAATTAAAGCAAAAGGTGGTTCAACAGAATACACAAGGGGGTGATCCTTTTTCCAACTCGGTGATTGTTTTTTCATTTTATTAAAAAAAAAAAAATTCTGACATATTGGTGATATATATTTCACTTGGATGTTATAAATTGCATAAGTTGAGTAAATTCAGCTGGATAAAACAAAAACTGTGTCTGTCTTCATTTCAGGCTGCAAAGCAACAAAATGTGATTATTTTAAAGGGGGTGGGGGGGTTGTTTTCTATACCCACTGCATGTAATATAATGTGTATTTCCATCACAGGTTAGGTCTTAAATTTCACATAAGGTGGTATTAAAAAGGTCTTTAAAAGTCTTAAATTTAACTTGTTCATATCTGTAGACACTCTGATGTGACATTGATTTATTAATAAATAATTAATATAATTAAAAGCTTAAATAATTTACTGTTTGAAATGCTTAGATTGTTAGATTGTTTTGCATAATTTAATGTATCTTGTATACTGTTCAGTTTTTTTTTAATTTAATTTCATTCAGAACACAGCATGTTTTTCTACGCATTTTCTGTTTTACAAAGAAATACATTTCATTATCTTAACAGTTTCATGTTGACTTTAAAATCAAGCCGACGAAAGCCTCTGCAAAGGATGAAATAAGTACACTGTGGGAGTTGCACAACATTCATGCACATAGAAACTCCTTTGTTATGTAAGTCCCTTTTTAGGGTAGATGAATCTGTATCTAAAAATGGTCTCCCATCTCAAATCCACTTGACTCCTTTACACAGAACAATACTCTAAGTATTTTGTAAACTGAGTACATCAGCAGCACTGTGCTCACCATGGCTGCTGCGTCATCACTGTATCAGAGCTTGTGCTGTGGGGCTTCACTCATGAATATTTGCATATATATTTACACATTATGTCTCTTCGTTTTTTGAGGTCAGGGCTCGAATGAAATACCCAAATCATGTCTATGTACAGTATACTAATGTGAATTTGCATAACAGACACATGTGGCAAGCAGACCAGATCAGCTCAGCTCTGATAACAATCAGACCTCTGTTTTAAAGCTTAAGAAATTGCACAGTATACTTACTCAAGACCGATTCAAAAGAGCCATTGTATAAGTTTTTTTGAGTGCTTGTTTTCTTGGTTCATTTTTTGTGTTTGGCTCATCTGAATTAATTTGTCATGGAGTTTGTGGTGTTGTGGTCGCCTTGAATGTGACAGTGAGAGCAAACATGTGTTCTGCATATGGATATGCAGGTGTTTGAATATCTTTTTATATTGGGATGCACTTACTCCTCCTCAGCCGCTGATTGAATCTTCCTCTCCAAGTCTTATTAAAGGCCTTGAACCACTCTGACAGGAAATGCATCCAAATCCTCGCTGTTGGCCATTAATGAAAACTGGGTCGTTGACATTGGCTTCCTCATAAAAAGAGTTTGAGGAAGAAAATACTGACCCAGAATACTAAACACAACTTTTGACCTTTACAGTAAATGATTTCTCTTTACCTTTCTGCTAGGTTCCAACCTCTAATCCTTTTGTTGCTTATTAGTTGCATATGGCTCATTCATACAGCAGCAGATTTATCAGTCTTCTCAATAATAATTTCACAATATTTTTGCACATTGAGTAAATATTGTGTAAAATAGGTGTTCTCACCTTCTCATTTGCTATCATTAAATAAACTATATAAATGGATAATTTTAGAATCTACAGAAAATCAGCATGTTAGAATGATTTCTGATCGTGTGACACTGATCAGTAATGGATGCTGAAAATTCAGCTTTGCCATTACAGTAAGAATTTACATTTTAAAATATATTAAAATAAAATTCTACAATATGACTGTTTTTACTGTGTTTTTGATCAAATAAATGCAGCCTTGGTGAGCATACTGTAAGAGGCTTTTCTTAAAACATCTTTTAAAAATCTTACCCCAAACTTTTGAATGGAGGTGCACATAATAATCACTGTAAAAATAAATGTAAATATAACAGCATAGCACTATTCCTGCATATTCTTGTAGGAATGTTCTCCATCTGTAAAAGAAACAAATGGGCTAAACTCATCTGCACGTCTACAGTATATGTGTGTGAATGGACTAGTTGCCATGTGGCTCTCATCACCATCTTTTATCTGGAAACATCAGCCAGAGGATGCGGTTCCTCCTTCAGATGACGACACTTCCCACCCACCATTGTGTGGGGCAACCATAAATATCTGGGTCAAATTTTAAACCTCAAACAATTACACTCTTTGTATAATACAGAACTAACCGTGGTTATTGTCTTTCTACATATGCACCAATGTGCCAAACCTCTAAGTTTTATGTGTTTGAGGTTATTTATTCATCACTTTTTTATATATAATGGCACTTCTTCTCAACAACAACCTCTTCTCATTGAGCTTTTTACTACACAAACCTCTCACATTGAGCCAAAAGCATGACTGAAGTAATGACAGTGCACTATATCAGTCTTTAAGAGCCCACTAAAGGTCCTCTCTTACGTCTGAACCCTTTTAAAAACACGTTCCACAGAAGCACTACTCTCATCGAGGGTCGGTTTTCACTCAGTGGTCACCATCTGTAAACCTGAGCACCTTCCCTCACTATCCTAGTCCACTCTCTGTCCTCATTCATGCAGGATGTTTTTATAAATGCATTTCCTGTTCTCTGAAGAACTAGGTTTCTGTGCCTGGTGCTGCTAAAATCTAAAGCCTCCTCTGACCATGAGGAGAGATATAGCTGCCCTTATTTCATGTCTTTAGTATTGAGAGCAAGGCCAGTATGGCTGCAGGAAATGGGCCATTCGTGGAGAAATCCTGACTGAGATGTTTAAAAGTACAGCTCTGCTGAATGGGACAGGATGGGTTTGGGTAAAGGTCTTTTTCATTTAAAAAAATCATTCATCACTTAAGAAAGGATTTTTATTTTATTTGCCAGATGCAAAATGGGTAATTTCGAAAAGCCGGCCTAAAAGAAAATCCCGAAATTCACACTGGTGACATCGTGGTGACATCTCATTAATATGATAATTTTGGCATGGGCTGAAGGTGTGTATGTGAGCAAATACAGCTTCATTATAAAGCAACACTCCCACCCCATATTTATTAACATACACATTACACACCAGACTATCAATTACCAGTGGCCTGATTGAGTGCACACTCGTGTTAAAGCCACGCTTACAAGCCCCACGGTGTGTTTTGAAGCCGACCGCTCTTGTGTGACACCACCTCCATGCTAATTGAACATCATCTCATTTCTCTCCTGTCTCAACAATATACCCCACACACTGCAGAGGTCAGAGGTCACAGCGTGCTGTAATCCATCAAGCTGCCAGTGGGCTACACACACTATAGCAATGTGATAACGTTCATTTGCTGTAAGAGAAGTGTGTGAGCACGTGAGGTGTGTTGCTGTAAGACACAGACAGATAGATAAGACAAGTGCTTTGTTCATTGATGGGTGTCCAATCAACTTTGTGCGTCTGTTCCTTGGTGTGTGTATGTGTGGATAAGAATCCTGACTGTCACTGTATTGTGTGTCGGTATTGACACATATGGATGTATTTGGTAATAGCTGGTAGACCAGCAGGGTGGAAAAATCATTTAAGGTTTTACCATGGCTACACAGTGAGCCATGGAGAGTTAGAGCTACACACCTTACATGCCTTGATTAATAAATACAAAGAAATTATTCATACTGAGGCTACACTTTTCTTTAATTGCACTATGCTAAAGTGTAACATTTTTATAAACACATTTATTAAAGCAATAATCCCTGAGAGGCTTTACATTACAATGATTGGTAAGGAGTGTTTTTCATATTTTTAATACCTAAAACTCCCTCAACTGTGCCAAAATCTGTAGTGCATGGATTTGTATGGCTTACTGTATTTGGCAACAGCAATTTACTGTAATAAAAGGTACAGTATCATTCAAAAGTTTGGGCTTGGTAAGATTTTTAAATGTTTTTGAAAAAAGTTTCTTATGCTCACCATGGCTACATTTATTTTATTTGTCAAAAAGACAATAGAATAATAATATTTTGGAATATTATTACAATTTAAAATAACTGTTTTATTTTTAAATATATTAAAAATGTTAATTATTCCTGTGATGGCAAAGCTGAATTTTCAGCAGCCATTACTCCAGTCTTCAGTGTCACATGATCCTTATAAAAAATCATTCTAATATACTGATTTGGTGCTCAAGAAACTTTTAAATTTGTTATAAATGTTGAAGAGTTTTTTTACGGAAACTGTGAGACTTCTTTTTTTCTGGATTATTTGATAACTAGAAAGTTTGAAAGAACAACATTTATTTGAAATAGAAATCTTTTGTAACATTATAATTATCTTTACTGTTTCTTTTAATCAATTTAATTTATTTTTGCTGAATAAAAGTATCAATTTCTTAAAAAAATTCTCACCCCAAATTATGGAACGATGTGTACATGAATTATTTACATTTTTATTATTTTTTATTAGTAGTAATAGTGATATTAATATAAAATATAAATAAAAATAAATATGTAACATTATGTATTATCATCTATCAATATACTGTATCAATTTCTAATTTTTAAATTTAAAAAATAATAAAATGGAATAGAATAAACCTGCTGCCAAGTAATGTTGATTATCTTACTGTAGGCTGTTTATTGGGTGTCAAACAACAAAGCAACTTAAATATGATTTTTGCAAGTGTGTGTATGTAACAACAGCTTCCGAATGAAATGTATTTTTTGTTCTCATGAGTTCATTATTATGTGTTTTCTGCAGATCTGTACTGTACGCTGGAGGTGGACTCTTTTGGTTACTTTGTCAGTAAGGCCATAACACGTGTGTTCAGAGACACAACAGAACCACAGTGGAATGAGGTGAGCTCTTATAAGTGTATCATTATAATAAATAAAAGTCACCTGACAAATCACCATCATGTATCTGTCATTAATTCATTTGCCCTCCTATAGGAGTTTGAAATAGAGCTGGAGGGCTCTCAGTGTCTGCGGATCCTATGCTACGAGAAGTGTTACGACAAATCAAAGCTCAATAAGGACGATAATGAGATTGTGGACAAGATCATGGGAAAGGGACAAGTACAGGTAGGACAAAGAGAGAAACCCATTGCTAAACCACAATATGTGTGCAAACAGCAAACACTTAGGTTTGTGAGTAGACCCCACCAGACTGGTTTAGACCACAAAAGTTCAGACTTAAATTGTAGTGGTTTCCTGATGTGAGTCATTTTATTGTTGTCTGGTTTGAGTGTGTGCTCTGCAGATGGGGTGTTGTGGTGCTGGATTTTTGACATGGGCAGCTTTACTGCCTGAGAAGCCATGATTTACATTTCTTTCACTTCACATACGTGGGAAATGCCCCAGTTGAATTGAAGTGAGTGTGTATTGAGATCAGTGTGTTCACATGTGTTTGCAGTATATAGCTGATGTTAGAGACTGTTATCAGGACTGGCATCAACACGAGCCCAAAAATTCCCTTTCTAGAAGAATTTTTCAAAAGACCCACCCAAAAAAGATTGTAAACATGCCTCTTTTTATTTTACTGTAATAAATCTTTCATTAATCTTCATTGTTGTGGCAACCACGTTAGCTGCTGATGCTACTCTTTTACTGTCATTATCAAGTCATTTTGTCTTGTTTTTCGAGGCTTTATGCTTAAACCTTAGTCAAATTTATTCTAAAAGTATTGCATTCGTTTTTCTTCTTTTAAATCTAGGGCAGCTTATGGGGGCTAAAAATGAGGTGGATTTAATTGCACTGGAGGTTTATTTCATTTTATGTTCATGTTATTCTCTTGGGATCGTAGCCAGAGGTGAATTAACAACACAAGAAATGAGTCTCTGTTTTCACGGACAATATGGTGTGTATCACAGATATACACACGTTACCATTAAACACGCACACACAGCTCTGTTTCTACAGTCAAAGAGGGACTCATAGTGATGATCTTTTGGGAATAGAGACGTCTCGAAGGTGCTTTATGCCTATGAGGGTGCCTATGATGGATTTTTGTTTGAATTTTCTGTGTTACAATATTGCGTTATTCAGTATAAAAGTATTTAATTATGCTACATCATTACTTTTTGTGTAAAGTAATGTGTTAAGTAACTCTTCCTGGCCGCAATCTAATAGAGACGCTCTCTCTTTTGCGCTATGTTTGGCTTAGTGTGGTATAAAGTTAATGAGTAATGTAATTCTGTACTCATTAATTGAAAAATTGGATCTGATTATGTATATTGAATCAGATTATTTCCAATATTGTTTACTAATATTGAGATTTTCAAATATATTGCCAATTTAAAAATGGTGTTTCTTAAAATTGTAGGCCAGTATGTTGGAGCACATGAGCTGTTGCAGAATGTTTCACAGTGTTTCACTGTGTATGTGTGTTTGTTGAGGGAAGTGGCACAATCTGCCAAACAACCACCTTATATTCCCTTGTAATAGAAACTGAGTAAAGCACCTCTTCAAAGTGAGAAGGGCACAGCTGCTCTTATAGACGTGCACTTCACACTCACCCTTTAATATATGTGACCTATGGCCCATTTAACTCTCTCTTAAGCATATTTTTAAGAGAAATATTTGGTTGTTTGGCCTTCTAGTTAATACCTTCCTTCCTGGACAGGAAGACAAGCCACTTCTGAAACTAAAGTCACTTCTTTCCGTGCATGTGAGCGACCTTGTTCGTTTAAGTGAGTTTAAAGAGTATGTTTAAATTGGTAATGAGAAGAGACTTTGTCTCTGAAGCTGAAGCTGATTTAGATTCATTTGAGAGTCTTTATACAGGTTATTACTGAGACATTCCATCAACTCTTCAGGCCTATAATATATATGCTTCAGTCAACCTTGAAACATTCTGCATCCAGTTCATTTGATTAGTTGGGTTTGTATGTCTAAGTTCAAGACTTCTTTTTAAGGACACCACGAGCAGCATATTAAAAAAAAAACACTTGACATGAATGCAGCTGTGAAGTCCTAGTCTGTGCTGTGGATGTAATGATGGCATGTGCACACACACAGTGCAGTATGAGAGGGGTAATGAGTGTGGAGTAGGCAGCTGGACAGTACTTTGGGAAATATACATCACTCAGAGAGAATGAGATGACTTCTTCAGGTTTAATTAAAGTCATACTGCACCTGTCCGCTGGCCTTCTCTAAACCTCATCACACCCCTCTGATATGAGAATGGCTGTTTGCTCAAATAGCTGCTACAGAGAAACATGGGGATGTCATTTTGTATGGAATGGTGTAGTACTATAGATTTTACTATAGATTTGTTGTGTGTTTGCACTCACTAACCAGAAAGTATCCATTTAAATTGAATGTTTAATTCAATTATATTTCAATTAATACATAAATTTTTACATTTATTCATACATATAATAATTCAATTAATACATTTATAACATTTTATTTTATAAACAGTACCATTCCAAAGTTGGGAGTTGGTAAGATTTTTTTGTTTTTGAAAGAAAATTATTTTGCTCACCAAGGCTGCCTTTATTTAACCAAAAACAAAGTAAACCAGTAATATTGTTAAATAATTGGAATTTAAAATAACTGTTTTGTATTTCAATATATTTAAAAATTATATTTATTCCTGTGATGGCGAAACTGAATTTTCAGTAGTGATTACTCCAGTCTTCAGTGTCTCATCAACCTTCAGAAATCATTCTAATATGCTGAGTTGGTGCTTAAGAAATATTTCTTAATATTATCACAGTTATAAACAGTTGTGCTGCTTAATATTTGTGTGAAAACCATGGTATTTTATTATTTTTTATAAATACAGTTTTATTCTAAGGTTAGGTACATACAGTATGCATCACTAGCAACATCAACATGACATTTACAACAGCAAATAGAAAACAATTAATCTTTCACATATTCATAACAAACATTAAATATTTTACCCAATATTGCTAAAAACTAAGACAACTACTTTATTATTTGTGTAAGATATTATAGATTATGGAAGATATTAAAAGCTGGCCAAAAGGAATGAAAATAAAAGTGAGAGAGTTTAAATCATCGGGATAATATTAGATTCGTACCAGGCACATTGTTACGTTATACTGTCTGTCTTACTTGCCTGTGATCAGTGATATTGAGGGCTAGGTCAACATCTGGACCATCTTATGCTCTAAAAAACCCAATCCTCCAAACTAATCAGTCTCTTTCATTTAGATTATGTAATGCTGTGATTGTGTTGCCGTCATGAGTATCTGAGCCTGATCTTCTGTTTAAATCTTTCCCTCTGAGCGTCTGTTTTCTTAACTGCTCTGGTTGAGGTGGACGGAGCCAAAATGTTTCCCTTCCCTCCCTGGAGAGATCCGGATTTATTTAACAACTTTCTGGCTCCTACATGTAAAAATCCTTAAATGGTCACATTGTAGCAACTCCCTTCTGCTTTTAATGGACCTTGTAACTACAGTCATGTTTTATAGGGAGATGGGAAAACTTATATTCATCTATTCACGTCCACAAAGCAACATGATCATGATTCATGTCTAAAATGAGGGTCGTTTTATAAGATCGAGTCACTCTATGGGAGAAATAAGCCAAAATCCGTAAATGAAGTGGTAAAAATCTATCTATCTATCTATCTATCTATCTATCTATCTATCTATCTATCTATCTCGGAATCTATCTCGGATTGAGCTACTTAATATTTTTGTGGAAACTGGAATAAAATTGTTCATCATTCTTTGATGAATAGAAAGTTTTAAAATTTTGATCAATTTAATACATCCTTGCTGAATAAACGTATTAATTTCTTTCAAAAGTATTTTGTCTGTTGGTCTGTCTATCAGTCTATATTTAATAATTATTATTTGCTCCTTTTCATTTTATGATAAATTAATGTTAGATAATAGTTTATCTAACATATTTTAATAGTTCTCTGGAACTATTAAAAAACAACAAACAAAAAAAAACCAAAACTTGTATTTGTGATTTTAATGCTGTATAAAAAGTTATTGGACACCAATTTGTCTGCTGTTCCAAAGTACCAGTACTAGTGTGAAAAACTAGTTTGCGTTCACTTTTTATTTGAAAAGGCAAAATCAGTCATCGTCTAACTTTCTAAACACTTTCATCATACCAAGCACAGTGACCTGAGAGTGTTACATCGATATAGATAGCGATATGATGTTTTGCTTTTCTCTGTAGTGGCTTGTTATATAATGCCACAAATGACAACCGCAGCATTTCACAGGCAGTGTGAAATGTGTGTAAGATTGCTTTTATTCTTTACTCCTCTCCTCACCAGCCTCCTTCTCTCTCCCTCAGGGAGTCCTCTTTCTCTTCATGCCTTCCTTTCGCTTGATCTCTCCCCCTTTAGTCAGTATCTTGTGGTCTTTTCATGTGTTTTCAGCTCTTCGGCTGTGAAGTGTTGTGTTGAGTGACCTTGTGGAAACTCTTTCAGTTATAATGATCTCTCTGGGTGGGGTTGTATCCCCTCTACGCCCTGTAAGGTGACTAATGCTAACACAATGCGCTCTTTCATACATACATGGTTTAAAGGGAGCCATATCTTACACTATAGTAGCATTTTATTATTCCCTGACATCATGTATTAATGTTAGTGTAGATTTTGTAGAGATTGTATGTCTGCACAGTGATTAAATTGGCCTGGAATAGTGTTAGACCACCACCATTAAAAAGTCTTTTAATAATATTTTGTAACAGTGTGAAAGAGTTCATCCCTCAAAAGCCTCTAATCTCATTGTCCATGCACTGGTAGAACAGGACATCATGTCCTCTTTGAGGCAGTATTCTCATTCCCTGTAACTCTAACTGCGACAAACCCATTCAGAACAGAACTCATTTCACCCTGAGCCCCTTCTAGAGCTCCCTACGGAGACAAGCAACAGCCAACAACTCTCTCCTGGTCCCGTACCTCCCACTGACTCTCTTTGCACTTTGAGGTGTCTCCACAAACCCACACCTTCTCGAAACATAATTGTGTGAGAAAACAGTTCAGAGTTTCTGGCAGCCTGGTTCCAGATGACATGTATTATAGGGCTGCACGATAAATCGAAATGGAATCGAGATTGCGATTCGACAGAAGCTGCGATTGTCAT